TAGCGATGCCCTTTGCTACTAGTAGCTTCTTGCTCCTAGTAGCAAGGCCAGGAGCCCCCAGTAGCGTCCTTGCTCCTGGTAGCGATGACCTTTGCTACTAGTAGCTTCTTGCTCCTAGTAGCAAGGCCAGGAGCCCCAGTAGCGTCCTTGCTCCTAGTAGCGATGCCCTTTGCCACTAGTAGCTTCTTGCTCCTAGTAGCAAGGCCAGGAGCCCTAGTAGCGTCCTTGCTCCTAGTAGCGATGCCCTTTTCTCCTCGTAGCTTCTTGTTCCCTTGCGAAGGCGGGGGGGTATAAGGCTTTGTAAGTTGGAACCAACGAGAAGCACATTGGTCTTTGCAGGCCTCGCCCGCAGGAACATCCTCAAACTACTAGGGCCAACTAAAAACTAGCGCGGTTCGCGCTGCTTTGCCACACCTGGCCAGTTCGTTGGTAAACATTTTACGTCGCAGCCACTTCAACATGTTCAAAAAATGACTTGGCACCCTTTTCAAACCAAGTTCACTCCGGGTTGGAGGCCGCTACTAGTTCACTCCGAGTGGTTACCCTGCTAGTTGTTTGACTCTTCCCACCGACAGCTTTTCAGACTGGCGCGACTATTTGTGAGAATTTCAGTCACGCGCAAAATCAGTGGATGGCAACAAAGATATCAGTAATTTGCTTTTCATTCTGAGCATGCCTTCGACAGCAACCAAATGCTTCGCTGCTGTTCTCGGCACAAACTATGCCTTTTAGGATCTTCTGTCGACATGGGGAATTTGGAGGCGTGGAACCTCCGGTTGAAACAAAATGTGCAATGTGCACATGTCGACAGGTTGAAAAAACACATGTCGAACATGCAAAACGTCGCGACCAAATGTCCCGCTTTCGCGAGGTTCCACCATGGCCTTTGCTCCTCCACCTCGCAGCCTTGGGTGCCACTCGACGCAGTTTTTGCCACAAGGTCGACGCAAAAAGAAGTAACAAGAAGCTACTAGGAGCAAAGGGCATCGCTACTAGTAACAAGCTACTGGTGTGATTTGCGTGGCTTTTTAGATTGCGTGCGCCATCGTGAAGTTTCAGGCGAACCCAGAAGCGTTGCTTTGAAGCACCCGCGGCTCGGCCTAGTGAGCGGTGAAACTGGAAGCCGATGCTGACTGAAACCCCACGACTCCGACACCAGACAGTAGCTTCTTGTTCCTAGTAGCGTCCTTGTTACTACTAGTAAGGCACCTGTTACTACTAGCGTGGCACTTGTTTCTACTAGCTTCTTGTTCCTAGTAGTAAGAAATGCTCCTAGTAGCGATCCCAGGAGCCCCTTGTAGCGTCCATGCTTTGTTAGGACACCAGACAGAGAGGACGACTACGGCAAGTCTTGCGATCTACGACGGCAAGTGTTTCAGACATGTCCGATCGCACATGGCGGTTGGAGGCCATCGCTTTTAGGAGCGTTCGGACGCTACTAGGGGCTCCTGGCCTTACTACTAGGAGCAAAGAAGCTACTAGTAGCAAAGTGCATCGCTACTAGGAGCAAGAGGACGCTATTAGGGGCTCCTGGCATCGCACATGGCGGTCCTGCGCAGGACACAGATGGCGACTCCAAGTCACAGGACCTCCAAGTCATGGCGACTCGAAAGGGTCGCAGTAACAAGGTTCGCTACTAGGGGCTCCTGGCATCGCTACTAGGAGCAAGGGCCTTACTAGTAGAAACAAGAAGCTACTACGAAAGTCTCGGCCGAGGACGAAAGAGAGGATGAAGACATCGATGAAGTCCCCTTTTGGGAAGAAGAAAAAGAGACGAAGTCGTCCGACGCAGCTTTGTCTGGAGTGAGGAGTGAAGACAAGGAGGACTGGGTGACTCAAATGGGTCAAAAATGGGTGACTCAAATGTTTAACATGTTTGCCCCTAGTAGCGTCCTTGCTCCTAGTAGCGATGCCAGGAGCCCCTAGTAGCGTCCTTGCTCCTAGTAGCGA